GATGTGCTGGCAAGCCAAAAAAACTCAGATATACATGACTTTGAAATCCTCCAATGACGAACAGGCTGAGTGTACAAATTCTCAGTGCATGCCTTTTTTCGAGCCGCAGTTCAGCTATAGTTAAGGAGAACTTCTAACAGGGCTAAGCAAATTTTCGAATTTCCAGCAAGGGGTTGAATTGTACTGAAAGTGGAAGGAGTTACACTGCTTTTGAAATAGCACGCCTGTCACGGTTATACTATCAGATTCTATGACAACGGGAAAAGAAAAACAGCGACGTGCACCAGGATAGTTAGTGCGACCATGCGTTTTGTGCAATTCTGCTTTGCAGACACCTGTACAACTCTCTTAGCTGTTAGAAGTGTTCACTGCTTTACTGCTTGATATGTATAGGAATTTTTGTGGTTCCCGAGTTATTAATTTTCGCGTCAAAACTTTAACGTATCCATACAATGAGACCTGCGCGTAACTGAAGGATAAGTTGGACTTTGCGAACTAGCAAGCAGGCAAGGAACAATCTCCTAGCTTTTGCGCTTCCCGAGTTATTATGCATTTTCGTACATATGCAAGTTGCAAAAACGCATATTGGGAAGAAGCTGTGTGTGTGTGTGTTCGCGCTTTTTGTCACCCACTTTCAACTTGAGAACAAGAAAAGCTAGAAGGCTGAAACTTTGGGAGTATATGCCCACACCATGCGCGACCTCCTCCCCGTTTTAATATCATTCTCCGCAGACGCTTTAAAAAAATACGCGTATTTTTTAGCGGAAAAACGTTCTGGGGACCTAAGTAAGGTAAGGGCTGAAATTTTGTAGGGGAATTCCCTGTGCATGTGTTTGCTAAAGATTTCAAATTCAGCCCCCAGGTATGCGTGGTACTCACATAAAGGCATATGGAAGTTTTGGCCGGAAAACTGCTAACTCGAGAACCAGGAAAGCTAGAAAGCTGAAATTTTGGAGAGAATGTCCCCTGTCCAACTACAAATTAAATATTTCAAATTCAGCCCTCAGGTATACGTGATTCTTACGCACAAGCACGCAAAAGATTTGGCGGGAGAACTGCTAACTCGCCAACTCGAAAAGCTGGAAGGCTGAAATTTTAGGGGGAATGTTATCTGACCACGACAATTAAAAATTTCCAAACTTTACTTCCCCGGCACGTGGAGTACCCAAGTACGGGCATCTGAAATTTTTGGCGAAAAAATTGCTAACTCGAGAACCAGGAAAGCTAGAATGCTGAAATTCTGAGGGAACACTCTCTGTCTAAGTGCAACTTAAGTATTTTAAATTCAGCCTTGAAGTATACGCGGTTGCTACGCATGGACACTTAAAAGTTTGGCGGAAAGATTTCTCACTGGACAGCTAGGTTATTCTTAAAGAACGACCGTCAAATGGAAATTGTACATTTACTTTATGCAAAACTTATGGTGGTTTATGCTAGTGATCACAAAATAGGTGTAAAGCAACAACCATTCATGCAGTAAGTAATGACCTGAGTACTTCAAGTTCGACGCAAAAACGCGCCCGGTGCGTTCCAGCCTCGGTTAATTTAAGTGCCAAAACTTCCACGTGTCCGTACGTGAGGCGAATGCCTACGTGAGCAGCAAATTCAAGTCTGCTAGATCACGCACTAAAATTTCAGCTTTCTAGTTCTCTGTTTACCGCGTTGAAAAAACCGGGTAAAACGCACTCGAAACACACACATAAACAAAACACAGGGTCTCGACAATATAGGTGTTATTGCAGCACAAAACTCATAAAAACCTAATGTCCGGGAAAAAATAATTTATCTTCCAATAGAATTCACCTCTTCAAATTTGTTTGCCAAATCGGCTACGTCCTTGCCAGTTTCATTTTGTGCCGTGCTCTTATCAATCAGTCCATCAATCATTGACCGTGCAACGTCACTCATTTCGCGCAAGTTTTCGCCAGATCCTTCGTCCGGAGTCTCTGATTCGTCGCATTTCGAAAAATGCGGCACTGTTTCCCCAGAGTTCTCTTGCACAGCGCGACTGGCTTCAACCTGTTCGCCAAGTGCTGAGCTGGCAGTTGAAGAATTTTGCGTTACCGCAACACTTGAAGTTTTTTTGGAATCGTTCGCACAAACAAACTCACCAAATTCGTTCACTTCGGAGACATTTACTTCTTTGTTCGGCTTCTTTTTCTGCTTCTAAAAAAATCCCCATTGCAAAACTTTCAAAACAGTTTGTAGCTAAATGCTATTGGTACAGAAGAGGAAAAGTCCTAATGCAGCAAAAATGAAAAATGAAAGTTTGAAGACAAAAAATCCTCTGTATTCACTTTCCAGAAAAGGCGAAGGAACTCAGAAATAATTCCATCGGCAAGACACGCACCCCTGCTACAACATTTCAAACAGGAGAAAAAAAAATTTAACTAAGTTTTTTCGTTCCTTTCAGAAATTTCTAAGTTGCTCTGGTAAGAAATATGCCGCATCGTATGAAAACCTACTCGAATATGAACAAAAATAAAAAATCTTCATAAAGAAGGCTCACTTTTGAACATTTCTTATTTTGTTGTTTTAATTTTTCCGCTTCCAATTTAAAATATTCGATAACTGCCGGGTCCGGCTCATCACAGTCCTTTGCCAGACTAGCAAACGGCGTGTCAGTTCCAAACAATTCCAATATCATTTCTGTAAAAAAAAGTTTGATAAAAACAAAAAAATTTACAACGAAAAGCGAGCTTTCAAGTTCTGAACTAAAA